TTTATCATAATTTTTAGTTTGGTTACCCTTCTTCTAAATTCGTAAATTTAGTTCCTTACCTTTATTTTAACATGCTCTATTAATCACCTTCCATTGTCTCCCTAAATGCCGTTAACTGAGATGATGATATGGCTTGGACTAAGAAAAAATTGATGACTTGGCGTTAAACAAGCAATAGGCAAAAATAATGCCTTGGAAGGATATGAATGAAAAAATAAAAGTTATTTTATCCCAGACACATCGTTTATCAACAAAATTTTATCCATAATAAATATAATTATAAAAAAAAAACTTCAACCACAAATTTATCTAGTACTACTTTATTAAAACAACAAATTTTAAGTATTTTTCTACTCAATTTTTTTTACAAATTTAATTACTAAACACTAATGACTAATATCATAATATAGAACAAAAGATAACTATTTTATGACACAAAAAAATTTGGCGGCCAACGAAAGAAAATCTAATCTTAAGGCACTTTTTGTTTTTGTAACAGTTTGTCAAGATTAGAATCAAACTATTTATTAAAAAATAAGCATCCACTGGAAAAATTATGATGTGTTTTTATTGTTTAACCACTAATCTAGTCAGACTTTGGCGTTGCTCTCCCTCTTTTAGCAGTCTCAATCACTTCCTGTAAAATCCCCGCCAATGGAAATTCATACTCCTTACCAGTAAAACCCAAACAGCACAGGATTTGCCAATGTCAAGAAACTACAACTAAGGTGCATAAGACAATGCATAGCTCGATTCATACGAAATCTTGTTGCAACATCATGTTCAAAACCAAGCCAGCAAAAGAAAATAAAATGCTTAGAAGCTACAATACCAAAGTTTAGACACCACATTTTTTGTATTAAGATACATATGTTCTGATTAACACAAGGTTTAAATATTGTCCTAAACACCACAATAAACCAAGACATGAAATTAAATACTAACAAGTCAAAGTCACACAAGGAGTTCAAAAACTTTGAAGACTAGTTTTAGAAATCTAAATAATATTATAGGTGCCAAGAAAATTTGCAGCTTGCAGTCACTAAAATCCAGAGCCATATGACCTATCAGTAAGAAGATATCAAGAACATGTAGAGATTGTATAAGAGATGTGTCCTTATGGGAAATATCATAAAAGTAAAGTTGATGGAATCAGAGAATCCACTCACCATATTGAAGATCAAACCAACACTAGCTTTTATAAAGCATAAATTTCAGTCTTCTTTAGAATCACCAACACTCTGCAGGTCATAAGGAATGTTTTAAAGGAGGAAAGCAAAAATTGCGGGAAAATCTTCAAAATTAAAATTTATGAAGTTACCACAACCTTGCACCTTATTTGATTTGATCGCAAGAGAGCTATAAAATATGAAAAACAAAAGGAAATCCTTTGAGCAAATGAATACCTTTTTTGTGAACAAAAGCTGTATTGTAGGGTTAAGACCACCTTCCCAACATCCTTCATCTTCATCATCTCCTGTTAATTTCACTTTATGCAGTTTTGGTGTACTTACTTCTCCCCCAGAGAAAGTCATCATATCTGGGCATGCCATCACAATTACATCTTCCAAAGATGTGAATTCAAAGTTGCAATTACCCAAACAGAAGCCTTCAAGTCTCGGTAAACCTTTAAGTTCCAAAGACTTCAGTTTGGTGAAAACAATGCCGTCCTTCAAGTTGGCCCCTTCTTCTGAGATGACTTGCTCCAGCAGTTCACAGTTTTGTACTTTCATCTTTTTGAGAGAAACAAGGCTCAATGCCATGGAAAGAGTTAACAAGTATCTCAAGTTACCACAATTACAAATTTCTAGAGAGCAAAGCCATATGAAATTCAAGATCTCTTGAGGTTTCTTGCTCCTTATTCCCATCAACTCAAGAAACTGCAAGAGTGCCAAATGCTCTACCACAGCATATCCAACCTACAAAATTCAATATATTGCTAGTTATTACACAAAAAATCCAAATAAATTCGTAGAGGAAAAAATGAAAAAACAAAAAAAGAAAAAAGAACCTCCAACCTGCAATTTATGACATGACTAACAAAGGACTATCAACCTAACCCAAGCTTTTGTAAAGGATAAGTTCAGTCATGAGTCTTCTTTAGTGAATTGCCATTAGCACTTGAGGCACAACATTGCAGGAAAAAGTTTTCAAGCTAAAAATAATCAGTGGAGTTTACTGTTATCATCTACCATGTTTATTTGATCATGCCTGCAACAGGACAATCAAGTAGAAGGAAATAAAGCTTTAGCAATGAAATATACAAGTGTATCTTTTGAATTAGTGGATACCTTTTCCGCAAACAATTGTTGTATTGTGGGGTTAAGGCCACCTTCCCAACATTCTACACCTTCATCTTCTGTGAATTTTACTTTCTGGAGGTTAGGTGTGCTTACTTCTCCCCCAGAGAAAGTCATCATATTTGGACACCCCATCACAATTACATCTTCCAAAGACAAGAATTCAAAGTTGCAATTCCCTAAGCAGAAGCTTGCTAGTCTTGGAAGACATTTAAGTTGCAAAGACTTCAGTTTGGTAAAAATAATGTCATTCTTGACATCATCATCACCATGCCATATCTCCTTCAGGTCATCATTCTGTTCCACTATCAGTTCTTCTAGATTGGGAAATGTAGCCTGAAAATTAACGAAAGAATTGAAAAAATACACAGATAGAAGGATGAAACGTGTATCTGAAGTAAATCCTCTGCTCGTTTGGCAAAATTGAGATTCAAAAACCCTAATGCTATTGAGTTAATTCTCATAGCTTTCCACTTTTCCGTTTACTTTTTAAATATACATTAGTAAAAGATATTCAATTTAAATGTCATAGATGTTTATACCTTATTGACCCAAAACAGAGGGTGTTGAGTTTGGATTTCAAGTTGCTTCTCTCCACTTGTTCTCAGAATTTCTGAAGCTAGTATTTGCACTTTATCACATCCAATCATGTCGATTTTTTTCAATGATGGCCATTCTGTAGTATGTATTTGAGTGTAGAAACTCTTGAGATTGGGTAGCCACCAAAGATCCAAAGATTTTACTTTTGGAAATACAAAATTAGGGGTTGTTTCCACCAAAGCTGATTGAGCAGTTATTTGTGCTTTTGATTCACCAACATCTAGTCCTTGAGGTTCAAAAATTTCTTCTAATGACTCACAATCACTTATCTGCAGCTCGCCTAGGTCTTGTAGCTTCCCTACCATATTAATTGGAAAAATGGTCAATAGTTTTTCACAATAATTTACATGGAGGAGATATAGTTTGTGGAAGGAATCTTCATCAAGTTGTTCATCCCATATCTTGATCAAGCTCCCCATCTGGGAGATAAAAAGCTCCTTTAAATTAGGGAACACCACCTAACAAATTCAATTGATTGCATTAATAACTGAACATAATTGAAGACAAGATGCATAAAAATAATGAAAAAAAAATCTCACCATTGCTTAGGAGTTAGAAGCTTATTTAATTCTCCTATCATTGTTTGAACCTAATTATGGATAACTATTACAAATTAATACATTAGTGTCTATTCCTTCCTTCTCGAAGTGCAGGACTAAGGTTGTTAACGAGTTCAATCGAGTATTTACATATTCAAACTTGAGTTCATTTTAAAAATTTGAGCTCAAGTATTTGTTGAGCTTGTACTCAAATTCACTAGTATTCAAGCGAATTAGAGTTTACTCACAACCTTGAGTTTTTAATATACATAGAGTTTAGTGCTTATCCACATTAATTACCTCTTAAAATTTAAGAGGGAAAGACAAAAAACAGTCTAATTTTTACTTTAAAAATAAGGTTTTTTTTTTATGAGATTTTATTGAAACAAAGTTAGTTTTGGATTGATTTTCTTTCACATATATATTTGAATTTATCAGCTAGATCTTTAAAAAATTAGAAGAAAAAATACCTTAAAATTATATTATTTTAATAAAGTGTCATGGAAAAAAACCAAAACACTTCCATTTCTGTTTAAAAAATAAGTTTTTTAATTTTTTTTTAATGAGAGTTTATTAAACTAACATAATTTTGGAACACTTTTCTTCTTAATTTTTTAGAGATCCAGTTAATAAACACTTTTCTATATATGAATAGGAGTGTTTTAGTACTTTTCCATAATGTTTTATTGAAACAACATAGTTTTAAGGTGCTTTTCCTTTTAATTTTTGGAGACCTAGTTGATAAACACCAATAATATATAGGAAAATGATTTATACATCATTGGTTCAATACATTTTCTAACACATTTTTTGTTCAACCATTAAAAATATAATATAAATATAATCAATTCAGTCGGTTTATGCATCTTATTTGTATGATTATATGTTTAAATTTGTCTGCTTTTAATTTCAAACTAAAAAATAATAATTTTTTAATAAATGTATTATGTAGTGTTGAACCAAAATGTGTACCAATTACTGTCCTAATATATATATGAATAGTGCATATCAGTTCCAACTCTTAAAAAAATTAGTCCTAACACCTTATAAATGTTGATATCTTCTTTAAAAATTCAAAAATTTACCTTAAAAAATGTTAATTAATAAGGTAAATTTTTAAATTTTGAATTAAATTTTAATTAAATAAAATGACATTATTTAAAATGGGATTCCAATTTTTTCTCAAAATCAATAATGATATGCACTATGCTCTACATATACAGTATTTATATTTATGCAGATAATAAAAGTACAACAATCGAAGTTGCAACTACTAATGAAAGTGCAAAAAGAATCCAGAAAAATTTGTAAAAAGAAAAATTCTTCACAAAAAGGCTGACCTGATCGCTGAAAAATGGTTCAGTAGGGATATTAAACCTTTCTTCACTTCCTCCAACAGTTGTCTCTTTCTCTCGCATTATTGAAAATGTTGAAAATGATACCATCTTTGGACAATTATCCATGTCGATAGACAACAATGATGGAAACTCAAGTTTATAACTTCCCACAACAAAACTTACCAAGTTGGGACAAGACTTCAGAGCAAGGGTGTGCAGTGTGGGGAATATCATTTTATTTTCTGGTATCTCTATAACTTCCTCTTCTGTGATGATTTGCGCCATCATTTCACAGTTTTGTACCCTGATTTCCCAGAGACCAGAAAGACTCAACACCATGGATGGAGTTAAGAGGTATCTTAAGCTATCACAGTTACAAATTCTCAGAAATAAAATCAACTGGAAATTCAATATATCTTGAGGGTTCTTGTTCCATATTTCCATCAATTTAGGAAGCTCCGAGAGTTTCAAATGGCTTAACCCAGCGTATCCAACCTTCAATGCAAAACATTTCTAGTTATAGCACAAAAATACAGCTAAAAAAAACAGAATTAATAACTTTCAATTTGCATTTGATGATATGATTAATAAAGGGATTGCAAGATAGAAAACATTTCTAATTTTATAGTTGAATCCATACCATTTCTTCATACAATTGATTTATGGTGCTATTCAATTCACCCACCAGACGCCCCTCATCGTAGTCATTCAGTGATATTCTCTGCAGCACTGGAGTCTTTAGGACTCCCTTACAGAAGGTCTCCATGTTGGGACATTTACTCACAACCAAGCGTTCTAAACATGGGAACTTGAAGGCGAAATTAAGTCTTGAACAGAAGCTTGTAAGGTTTGTTAACTGTTCAAGTTTCAAAACTTTTAATTTCTTAAAAACGATCTCATCTTCTAAGCCATCTCTTTCGTCTCCAACTACTTCAGTCAGCGAGTCGCAATATGTTATGCTCATTGTTTCAAGTTGAACCAGGCTTTGAGCTGTTGAGAAAGAAACCAAGTTTCTTAACCCTGAGCAACTGTGTACAGCCAAAGTGGTGAGATTGTGGAAAGGTGCCGTAGATGCTGTTAAGCTAACCAAGCCAAAACAGAACTTCACTTCCAGAATTTTAAGATTTTGAAGAATTAGGTCAGCTCCTCTTGAGTCTTGGTTACATATATGCCTCAGATTATAAAGAAAATCCAAATTCAACTCTCTAATATGTAACTGTGTTCCCACACATTTCTCCTGACCATCAGCGTCTCCTTCAGAAGGGAATAACTCCTCCAAATCAGCATTAGCTACATGAAGCTTTTCCAGCTTGCGGAAACATTGAAGGAAGCGAATTGAAAGCAAAAGTGATTTATCTTTATAAGTAAGAAGATGAAGAACTTTAACATTGCAAAAGAGGTCCCTCGGAAATTGCTCGTCAAATATCACTGCGACGTCATCACTTGTTAATGACAGTACCTCTAATTTAGGAAAGACCTGGAAGCAAATCCAACAAAAATATAAGAAATTGTAGAGTACTTTTCTATAAGCAAAAAAAATATTAAAAAATATTAGATGTACCATTAATATGTAATAATAAAATCATTTCTCACTCTTAATTTTGACTTTACGCTTTTCAGCTGAGTTGGGAATGCGAAGAACCAGCAAACTTGGTTTAACAATGCTATCCATATGCTTTTTACACACAGTTTTATCTAAAAATTTAAATTTATATTCTTTTTATTTTAAAATAATTATTATTTTTCTATTTTTTCTCTAAATTAAAAATTTAGATATAACATTTATATTTATTTATAATATCTTTAAAAAAATAAAAGACAAAACAAGATTTTTTGTGATTAGATAATTAATTAAATAAATAATAATATGATTAAAATAAAAAAAATACTATTTACCTACTTTAAAAAATTGAAAAAACAATTAATTTAAAATAAATTTAAAGTAAAAAAAGAACAATTGTTTTGAAATAGAGGGACTAACGCTTAATTAATATTAATTAATTTTTTGAAAAATAACTTAAGAATAATTTTTTTATATTATTTTTTAATACAATTTTATGTATCATTCAAATGATTAACTTTTTTTAATTTATTTAAAACTCATAATATTGAGTGTATCTACTAATTTATTAACATGTAAAAGTTATATAAAAAATTATATTAAAAAATTATACCTACATCACTACCTTAATTTTTTATATACTTTTATCAATTTTAATTAATATTTTACATATTTTTAAAACAATAAAAAACAAAAAAAACACCTACATATAGCCATAACGTAGCAAAGTACTGACAAACAAGTTTTAGGTTGAGTGTTTTATTAATTAATTCTAGTTAAATATTTCACACAATCCTATTCCCTTAGCCATTATCTAAAAAAAAAAAAATCCCATTTTTTATATAATAACTTTAATTATTCATCCTATTTAAAGAAGTTTCTCTTTATAAATATAAATTATTTTTCAATTCTTAATTTGAGAAAAAAAATTAAAAACATAATGACTATTCTAGAATAGAGGCAATATAAATGACATAAATTTGATTTAAACCCATTTGTGATCTCTCCGCCAATTTGGTGTGGACATCCAGCGTTGCCGCCACTAAAGGCTCATTTGATAGTAATTTGGGGGTCATGATTAACGGTATTGTCTAAATTATTAAGAATAAATATTTGGTAAATTTTTATATTTTAAAATTATTATAAATAAAGTGTTTGGTAAAAATTTTTATTTAGTAATCTAAAGTTAATAAATAACAATTACAGTCTAAACAACTAGTGTATGGAAAAAGCTAATGGATGAAAAAAGCTAACCTAAGTAGTGCTTTCTACTAAACCACTAGGAAATTGAAACTTTTGAATTTTATTGACAAATTTATTC